CCTGACCTTCCTTAAAGTCAGTCAATCAGAGGCTGCCCTCAGGCACGTTTTCTCCGCACTCAGGGCTTTCATTAACAAGGTACGTCCGGACACGTATCACCCATGTGTTCACACGTAAGGCATGAAGCACCCGGTTGTCACTTTCTCATGCGTGCCTCATTCTCTCCTGTAATATTATGTAACATCCGCAACACTTTGCCAGGACAAGCTGCACTGCCAAAGACTCATTTAGAATAAATATTTATTGTTTCCCATGTTTGTTGGTCCTGCCGCTGTCTTGTTCCCATATTCACATGTTGCCTTAATACTCTTTAATCTCACCTATTTTTAGATTTATTTACATACTTAATTTATAGAGCAGCAAGCGGCGAGCAAGCTCTAACATGGCTCAGTTTCAGTAGTGTAGGAGCACATGAAGTTCCCAAGGGAAGGGACCACCCACTTCCTAGTGGTATCCTCTGATAGCAATCGGCAGTATCAGTGTCGACTGCTTGTGCAATGAATCAGAGAAGAGCAGCACGATGAAGCTCTGTTCTGGCATGTTTTTGTTCTTCTATAGTAAGAGTGAGAGTACAAAGATTGTCTTCTGTTGAGTCACGGGCGGTAAACAATCATGCTCTAGGACTCATCAATTCAGGTTCACTGAAATACAGAAAAAAAAAAGAAAAAAATAACAACGAATTGAGTCTACTAAAGCAACGTGTCAGTCCTGATTATATGTTCGTACTGCTGTGGGCCACAGAGCTCTGTTGTTGAAAGAAAAACTGCCAGATAGACTAAACGTAACTACAGCATCAAATGTGGATTAATCTGCCACTAAAAATTCATACATTAGTTATTCAACCTTAATGTATACATGTTGCCTCTCTGTTGCATGGACACTTTATCATTAAATGGGACATTTGACCTTAAAACTTACCTACCTATGAAATATTAAGAATGAGATAGTGAAAGGAGAAATAAGGGCATGGAAATATCATTGAATACAATTTGAACATAACATGAGAAACAAGGAAGCTGAACAGTATTGAGAGAAGGATGTGTTTTTTTGGTCTTTTTGATAAATTGCCATTTTGCAACTAAAATCTGGCCACATCTACCCATGTCTAGTCTGAAAAGCCACGAGAAGTTGCATATTTTATGGCCAACATCCTGCAATTTGAGACAGTCAAACATACTGTGAAGGTCCTGAGTCCAATGAGGACTATTCAAAAGATTTTTGTTTAGAAAAAGAAACTCCATTATTCAGGTTAACAATTGTTTTATTCCTATTGTACTGACAAAGTGTCTTTCAAAACTTAAAGAACGAGAAAACAGTAGATTTTGTAGATTTTTGTCTTAATAAGGTATTCTTGAATTTGTCTTTAATCTCATTTTGTTAAAAAAAAAAGTACCTTCACTGCTACTTAGCAGTTGGGGATTTAAACACAAAAAAACAACAAACATCTGAGCAAGTAAACAAAATCTGGCAGGCAAAAGGTTGCAGATGCGGATCAACGGCATGAAGGGCATTGAGTGCAGAATCTATGTTTGTTCAAATTTAAGTGGACGTACCCATTCTACTCGGTAGCAAACCTCGTAATTCTAAAAAAAAAAAACAGACAGTAACACAAAAAAGTACTTAACTAAATACTGTATGATAAAGTGTTGCATAAAGTGATGTCACAGAGTGTGTTTTGGGACGCACTGCTCCTTTCTAATGCCATTTCCCTGCTGTCGTCCCTGCACATTGTAATCCCATCCCTGCCCAGAATCTGCCTTTAATACACTAACACGTTGTCCCGTCAGTTCCCGTCGGTGCTGTTCAAGGGCCGCGTGACGCTGTGTGAGGCTCTGTGCTGCGAGGTGCTCAAGTGCTGCGTCTCCAAGCTGGGCTCCCTGAGGGCCGAGGCTTCCGCCCTACTCTACCTGCTGATGAGGAACAACTACGAGTACACCAAGAGGAAGACCTTCCTACGCACGCACCTGCAGGTAAAGTGGAGAGTGTTGGTTTTTGAAGTAGCAGAAGAGGAAGCATCCCTACACAGATCCGGCATCTGTTCATGCGTGTTAAATACTCGTTGAATAATACCCCCCCCCCGTTAATATTGGACATACTTGGTGGTCTGTAATAAAGTCTTTCTTGATGTCAGTACTTCATTCACATTGACGTTCATCCTTGTCCTTTAGCCTTTTGTCCACACACACTCCTCTGAGTACTTCAGTTGCTTTCATAAGGCTGGTAAAGAATGTGAAGAGGGTGTTTAAACAGTTTAAACACAGATGGACTGCAGAGTTTCCGGCTCCACTCCATTAACACAGTATCAGAAAGCCGTCCAGCTTTCCATTTGCTCTCACTGGACTGTGTCAATACATGTACCATTTAGAACATTTGGTCTGAATGTGTGTTTTTAATCCTTTCATTTTTTTTTCTTCTTCTTCTCTTCTCCATCCGTCCCCTGACCTTATTCTCATTCTGCCCCTTGTTTTTGGTCCAGATCATCATCGCCGTGAGCCAGTTGATCTCCGACGTGGCGCTGACTGGAAGTTCACGCTTCCAGGAGTCTCTCTCCATCATCAACAACTTTGCCAATAGTGACAAGGCCATGAAGGTATAGTAGAAGTCAAAAAGACAAGGGCAGTAATGCCAGAAAGTCTTAACAAATCACTGCTCTGAATTCATTATAAATGATCTGAGAAAGCATCCAAAAGATAAAAAGGAAGTTGAAATCTGTCCATATAAGCCCTGTGCGCTGTGCTATCCAAGCCAAGAGAGGAGCCATACCAAATACTGCAGGAAGCCTATCTTTGATCAAACTCTTTATATGCTGTGTTTATTCTCCCTGTAGACTGGCCACTGGATCCCATTCCAAAAACAGTCTGCTCCTGATTGTGAGAATAGATATGTAGCTTTACAGTACGGCGTGGTTTGTTTAGATTGTAAATATGTTAGATGATAGTTGACAGATTCTCTTACCAGGAGCTATTTAGAAGTTCAGTTAACTGTTAACTGATTTGGCTTTTTGAACGAAGTCATTATCACCGCTGTGGAAAGTATGATGCAGCATCAAAGGACATACTGTATTAATGTCTTGACTAATTGGCAGATGTGCAGCTTTTATTAAACAGATGTATATACATAGATAGAATAGAGATAGAGTATGATTATGGTAAGACCTATAAGACAAGATCTCACAGCATACAGAAGAATTATTAGTTGCTGCAGGCATTCATGATTATCACTGAAAAGTTTCTTGTGCTTTTTATGGCGTGAACTTCACTAATCCTGCATCTAGTCCTGTTCAGTCTGGTCCGATCATACGAAGTAGGCTGCATTGTGTAAGCCTGACTTTGGCAACTATTTCATTTGGTTCGTTTTCCTCTTCCACAATCTGCTTGTTACCGAACACTATTTTGCAAGGGCACATCACTGCATCATAGCTGCCACCTAAGAATGACAGTGGGTTCAGCCTTACCTTTCTTCAGCGCCGGCACAGCACTAAAACAAAGTGTGGAGACAGTTCTGATAGATAGCCATGCAAGACTAGGTTCTATCTAACTGTTTAACACTAATGAAAGTGTGCAAACATTGTGGATCACAATATAAAACACAATAGCACCAATAACATAAAATGCATAAAATAAGACTTGAGTACATGAGTCTGTTGCCCCTCTGCATGCTGGGAGGCTTTAGAACATTTTATAGGCCTGTAGGGAAGCTGTAATAACTTCATCTGCGCTGAGCCCGTGATGTGGTTTTGATTCTCTCTTTGATTCTCAAACCAAGACTCAGGGCCCTGCTTGTATTTTTCTAATAGATTTGATCATGTTTTCACAAAGTCTGTGTGTGTTTGCTAACCTCTGCATGACGCAGTCCACGGCGTTCCCCTCTGAAGTGAAGGGTCTGACCAAGCGGATCCGTACGGTGCTGATGGCCACGGCCCAGATGAGGGAGCATGAGAAAGACCCGGAGATGCTGCTAGACCTCCAGTACAGCCTGGCACGGTCTTACGCCAGCACCCCCGAACTAAGACGAACCTGGCTGGACAGCATGGCCCGAGCACACCTCAAGAACGGAGATCTCTCGGAGGTATCAACAAGACTTTGAATAATCTGTTTCTTACTTTTGTTCTTAGGGCCCTATCTTGCCTGTAAAGCGCAGAGTGTTCAGAACGCAGAAACGCACAGGTAGCTCTTCGCGGGCGGAATCGCTGCGGGCCGCTGGTATGCTCATCGTATACCCGGCGGGGCATGAGCCATGAGCTCTGTGGGCGCCCTGCGCGCAGAATCTAAGAACATGCGGGTTGGTCTGAAGTACCGCTGACAATTAAGGTTCATAGGGTGGTGGTTTGGGCGGAAATGTGGAATGAAACCAATGCGGAGAGCGTTCCATCTCGACATTGCTCTTTAACAAGCGACAGGCGCGCGTTGGTGTCCGATGGGGCGGACTTGCGTAGTTAGTAATGCGGCGGATTTGCCGAGGCGCAGTCCAGGAGCGGTTCGAGGCAGCGCCGGAAGGAGACCGAGGCGTTCTCGGTCAGGGCCGGTAAG